TTTATTAAAAATAAAATGTGAAACTAAGGTTTTTGTCATTTAGTTTTTCTCCGAAATAAGACTATCGCTTAAATTAGGACATGTTCATGATTTATGAATGGTTTTGTAGTGAACAAAACAAGATCTACATTTAAAATTCAAATGTTAAGCACTGACTCATTGATTTTATTAGAAATTAAAAAGACTCAAAGTTACAAACTTTGCTTAACACACACGCAAAAGCGAATCCAAAACAAAACTCATGAAATTTCACACCTTGATGCGAAATGTTTTTCGGCCAATAGAAAACTAGGAAACATTTAAAAACAAAATTCAAGTGATCTTCAATTCTCAGAAACAAATTCTTTTACGGACCTTTTCGCTAGCCGACGCGAAGTTTGTCGTCGTCCAATAGTAAGGCCCGAATCATATCCGGGAGTGAATTCCCAAATGACCCTTTTCAAGCCCCACAAACAAAATAAAAGACTGGTAAGTTCGCCTGTCACCAGAGAAAAGGAGACGAGCGCATTAATACGTCCCTTGAAAAACGTCAAGCGATCGTTATTATTATCTCTACCTTTATCCCTCACCTCTTTTATACTTGATAAACGAACGGAACATTTTAAGACTGAGCGATTACGTCCTACTCTACGACAACATACATACATACATATACACGTTCCTGCCTACGTACACATAAACCTATTCTTGCAAGGACTACTACGAACATTTTCACGACCTTGTATCAACCAAAATACATTAATTTTATTTGTAGAGACCTTAATTGATTTATATGTATATAAATTTGTTGTTTCACTTTACAATTTGATTTTCTTGTTTTATACCCCTCTTATGGTGGGATATCTAAGAAGGCCAAATCAAACTAATCTGTTTCAACACTCATACACTTCACTATAACTGATAACCCACTATAGTTTTACTGAATTCATTGAAAAAAAAAATTATTTCGGAAAAAAATAATCTAAAAATATAGTTTTTAATTGATATTCTTATTTTAACATAACCTGCGATTTGAATACATCGATATTGCTTTTTAAAACTACACGTAAATAATTTATTTTAAACTAGAATTTATAAAGCATGTTATTTCTTACAACGTAATTATGTGTACTATTTTATATGTTTATCTTTTCCAGAATTTTAAAGTAATATTAAACCTCAGTTTTAAAATCACTTTATTTTTCATCATGGAATAGCCCAGCCTAGCTATTTATTTCAATTAACACCGTAACAATATCCGAGATATTTAATTATATTTTAATTGCATTTCCTCAAATGCAATCCAAATTTTAACGTAAAATATTTTTTGTGTGGGTTTTATATCATGCGCTATCTAGACCTGTCCAATAATCTGGTCTAAAAAATCGACCTAACCTTATATATATATATATATATATATATATATATATATATATATATGGCCTGGCGGTTGCGTCTAGCATGAAACAGACTGTCGCCTCTAAGTGTTGACTTCAATGATCACTTTTATATTTACACGCTCTCTATCTCTGATATTGAGCACTTTATCCCATAAATATAGCACACATTAAGACTATATTTCTTTTTTATATATATATATATATATATATATATATATATATATATATATATATATATATATATATATATATATATATATATATAATTTTAATGTTGTCTCTATCTGATTTTAAGCGTAATTGTATTTTTTTTTTTCTTCCTATTTTCCTTAACCCTCCTTTGCTCACATATTCTATCCATAGTACACTCTGTAGAACCACATGTCTGTTTCTTTCAAGTCTCTTCTTCTTCCGCGGGGAAAGTCTCTAGAATTCACTGCTATATAGGAGGTCTGATATTACATAGTCTAGCATCCTTTTCATTGTTTCTAGCCGAGTGTTCCGTCTTGTTTAGCATTTGGAAGGCATATTCTTGCCATTCTAATGCACGTTCGTATTTCTGAATCACATTTTTCGTCATCTGTTATAATACTTCTCTATAGTCGGTGAATAAAATTTACAAAAAGAAAGAAAATCAACACTGAATGCGTACAGTGACAGTTCATGTTCCTTAATACTTAGCCTGTGATGCAGACAATTGTTAAGATGGCGTTCGCTGTACTTCCGGTTATTGCGCTAATGTTAATGACAGTCATGTACATGATGATAGCAGCTTTAATGAGAATAATAAAACTGTAAACAGCAGTTATCCTGACACGAATTGCCTTCTCGTGCGCCAGTCAGTCATTCAAGAGAAATATATAACAAACTACTTACTCCCACTTCAGGTTTCCGGTATGTGCGTACCTGTGCGCGCACGCGCCGAATGTGAAATGTCGTCTTAGCTTTGGTTTAGCAATTAACATAAAATGTAATTAACCAATGCAATTAGTTTAATGGTACTGACTGGCAAAGTCTCTAATTACACAAAAATGATTGTTTCTGCTGTTGACATTTGTGTCAAAAGTAGTTAATTACATTTTTTTGACATATATGCATTGAATCTTTTCGAGCGCTAATAAATTTTCTAATTTCCCAATCAGTTGATTTTTGTGTTTGTTTTGTTTTGTTTTTTTTTTGTTTTTTTGTTTTTTTCCTCTCTTATGAACGAAATATTTACTTTCCACTATGGCTACATTAGACGCCTATAGTTTAGCAGACAATAAATATATAAACACAGACATGACACATGGCACAGTGGATAAAGGCGTTAGTTAGATCCAGTGACAGTGTGTGAGTTCAATATCTGGTTAAGGAGAATTAACAAGTGATAACTGATAAGTGACATCCATTAGACATGGCACGTGGAGCTAGAACAGTCTACCCCAGCGATCGAAATAAAGGGTTCAGTTAAACATTCCAACAACCTGAAGAAGGCCGGCGAGCACAACGGCCGAAACGTGATAAATATGGCAACAAAGATGACTACAATAGTCCGAATAATATAAATAGGGTACATAGTACCTCATCTCAGAAATATAGACAGACATGACTTTATCAATTATAGGCCCAATCGGTTTACAGATGAATTGGCTTGAAAAGAGCGCATATTTTTCTTTTAATAAGATTTCTCAAACCTTCAGGCCAGTAGGTGAAAATATAGTGTTTAATAAATAAATTGAGTGTCTACTTAAATATGAGTATTTACTAAATAGTGTGTAAAGTGATAAAAATCAGTCAGACGGATAAATAAAATCCATTACTTTAAAAGAAGAAAATACATAAATATAATGTGCGTGTGTTTATTAGTCTGAAATATCCACATACCCCAAGAGTAGGTACCTCCACTTCTTTAGGGAAAAAAATAGCATAGTATAATGAAATATGCCACTAACTTAATAAAAACAAATTTTTATCGTCAAAATATTTATTAAGATAAAAAAGCAGAGTATTTCTTGATTATTTTTTTTTATTTTTTAATCCTTTCTAGCACGCTCGAAATTTTGGTTCAAATTCTTGTTTTGTTTACGTCATCAGAGGACGTAATAATTACAATTACTTCTTTTTTTGCGCCGAAAACACAGTGAATTGGAAATTCTTGCAAAATCAAATAATTGTTGGATTTTAATGAAACTTTCATGACTTATTCACAAATGAATAAAATTATTTTTTAAATATTTTGTTTTGGTAATTTTATTTATTTATCTATTTATTTATTTATTTTACGTATGTTACCCCCCCCCCACACACACACACACTTAATTTCATGAAATTTTGCGAAGTTCCTTTTTATTTCCAGGATTTTGTTTTATTATTTAAAAGTAGCACTCCTTTGAGAATGTAAATCATCTAATTTTTTTTTTGTAATTTTTACTATTCTAACTGAAAATCTCCTCCGAATAGTAAACTTAAAAAATGTAATCAAACTATCTAATTATTTAATTAGAAAAGCTTTTAATTGCTTTTGTAAATAAGTAATATTAAGGACATAACATTTTTTTTTTTTTTCCATGAATGAATTTTTACAAGAATTTTTTTTCATTTTATTTAAACTTTAATTATAATAATTTATACTAGTTTAAAAATCGTTTAATATTCTTTATTAATTTATTTCCTGTATGTGATATTGTAATTAAGTGAAAACGAAATTTACGAATCCGAAATTGAAAGAAATTCATAAACGTCGTTTAACTATTCTATCTTTCAAAATGATATTTTTATTTTTTCACTTTAATTGTTCCTTTTTCATCTATGTTAGCCTAAATATAGCATTATTATGAAAACGTGACCTGCTTGGATTGAAGAAAATAGAAAAATGTCTTTTTTTAATTAATGTTAATTAAAGTTTATTAACTATTAATTATTAAACAATATTTTAATTATTATAAAAAATTTCCAGATTAATGTGTTAATTTTCTTGCTTACTTATCTTTTTTAACTTCATCTGTCATTCTAGAATTAATTTAAGAAAATTTTATAGTACTTTAATTTTTTTATTTTTTCATAAAGCATCTTCAAACGTAACTAAAAGCCAATAAAATATTAGATGCTTGCTGAAAATGTTAATTTGGAAAAATTACTAGGTACTTAAAAACGTTCGTTCACTTAGATTTCGTAAATGTATGTCAATTTTCGTTATCCATAATAGCTGTCATCACCTCGGAACTTGTTGAAACTTGACTAATGCATGGAATAATAATACAACACAAAATGTACTTAGAACAAAACGTATTGAAACAAGAAAGTGTACACAATATTTACATATAGTCTTTTGTATATTCTTGGGAAGACCGTTCCTGGAGAATGTGTTGACTTAGTCGCAGTCGGGCAGAGTCTCTGGATTGAATCTCTTGATTCCTTCTTACACTCTTCCCGGTACCAACCATATTTATATTTAAACCGGCTTGATTATATACCCAAAACCCATTGAAAAAGAAATTAAAAATAATTTAGAATTCAAATCGATGAAATCCTAAAGGTCGAAACGCGTCACCCGAAAACTTTTTCCCCGTCATCATACATTTTCCCCCAAAATTGTTCTTGATATACAAATATTTATATATCGTTATTCCATATGTATATATGTATGTTTTTCGTTTCTTTGTTTCCCTTTTTCTTTGTTTCTCTTTGTCTCTTTGTTTCTCTCTTTCTCTCTTTTTGTCTCTTTTTTCTTTTCTCTTTTTTCTCTTTTTTCTTTTTTGTCTCTTTTCTCTTTTTCTCTTTTTCTCTCTTTTTCTCTTTTGTCTTTTTCTTTTTTTTTTTTTTTCTCTTTTGTCTCTTTTTGTCTTTTGTCTCTTTTGTCTCTCTTTTGTCTCTTTTTTGTCTCTTTTTTCTTTTTGTCTTTTTTCTTTTTTTTGTCTTTTTTTTTTGTCTCTTTTCTCTTTTTTGTCTCTTTTTGTCTTTTTGTCTCTTTCTCTCTTTTTGTCTCTTTTTGTCTCTTTGTCTCTTTGTCTTTTTTTCTCTTTTTTTTTGTCTTTTTGTCTCTTTCTCTTTTTGTCTCTTTCTCTCTTTTGTCTTTTCTCTTTTTTGTCTTTTTTCTCTTTTTCTCTCTTTCTCTTTTTTGTCTCTTTCTCTCTTTTTGTCTTTTTGTCTCTTTCTCTCTTTTTGTCTTTTTGTCTCTTTCTCTCTTTTTGTCTCTTTCTCTCTTTTTGTCTCTTTCTCTCTTTTTGTCTCTTTCTCTCTTTTTGTCTCTTTCTCTCTTTTTGTCTCTTTCTCTCTTTTTGTCTCTTTCTCTCTTTTTGTCTCTTTCTCTTTTGTTTTTTCTCTTTTTTGTCTCTTTTTTCTTTTTTTTCTTTTTTTGTCTCTTTCTCTCTTTTTGTCTCTTTTTCTTTTTGTCTCTTTCTCTCTTTTGTCTTTTTTCTCTTTTTTTCTTTTTCTCTTTTTGTCTCTTTGTTTCTTTTTTGTCTTTTTTCTCTTTTTGTCTGTTTTTGTCTCTTTCTCTCTTTTTGTCTGTTTTTGTCTCTTTCTCTCTTTTTGTCTGTTTTTGTCTCTTTCTCTCTTTTTGTCTGTTTTTGTCTCTTTCTCTCTTTTTGTCTGTTTTTGTCTCTTTCTCTCTTTTTGTCTGTTTTGTCTCTTTCTCTCTTTTGTCTGTTTTTTCTCTTTTGTTTTTCTTTTTTTTGTCTCTTTTTGTCTTTTTTTCTCTTTTTCTCTTTTTTGTCTCTTTCTCTCTTTTTGTCTCTTTTTGTCTCTTTCTCTCTTTTTGTCTCTTTTTGTCTTTTTGTCTCTTTTTGTCTTTTTGTCTCTTTCTCTCTGTTTCTCTCTTTGTTTCCTTCCTTCTGAGTTATCCACGTACGCCAAGAGAAATTAAAGATGGTGGTTTTTTGCTACGAAAGTACCTGTCTGCATTTAACGGAGTGGCCTAATGTAAATTAAATATTTTTTAAGCCACTTAAGATTTTGACCAGTACTTGAGTTGCTTAATTTTTGTCCAATAATTAGTATTCGAGTTGCTTATATGGCTATTTAATTATATATCCTTACGTCTTATAGAAAAGAAAGATATTTCCATGTAGTATAGTTCTTGAATACAATATAAAAAAAAACGTATTTTTGTTTAATTTTAAGTTTTTCGCTTATTTATTGGATTTGTTTAAGTCACATTGACGTCAACAGTGGATTTGCTTAAGATTTGGTCAAGTTTGTATTGAGTTACTTATTTAACTAAAAACGATAGCATTTTAAATGACTGCATCCATGTAAAAACAATGTACACAGGTTAACCATTTATTTGACGGGGCATGTTTAGGATGTAGTCATTGGACATTGCAATTGCTTCGTTAATACAAGCCCATAAAATGGCTAAAATCTTGCATCCATCTATAATATAAAAAAATGTATTATTGATTCTTGATTTGCCCCATTAAAAGTGAATATATTCGGCATATTGGTTTTAATGGTTGGGGCATGGTTTCATGTGATAATAATGGACCTGTACAATCCTACCCATTTAAATACTAATCATCCTCTATAAAAGGCCGTTTAATTACTAACGATTCAGTTTTGTTTTTTTTTCTGAATAAAGCTTAAGTTTATATTCGGCGTTGTTTATTAATTAAAATTCTCAAACGTTTTCTTTTTTTTATTTGTTTTTAATTTTTTTTGTATTTTTGCGTCATCCACTTTCACATTCAAAATGTTTTCACCGCCCACCTGTATAGTAAATATTCAAAACATAAAAAAATTGTTTGCTAAGTTACTGGTTCGTAAACAGACGTGATGATGTAGTAAAAATCCCAAAGGGAGGTAACAAATAACACTGATATATGCGGCTGCTGCTGCTACTACCGTATAAAAGAACAAACGAAAGCAAACTTGACCATTGAAAACTATATAGAAAATACCCAAAATATTGCTTGTTTGCGGGAATATTTATATCTTATCTACCAACGTGAACTAGTTATTCCCATTTAAACTATTGGGTTTGTTTATCTCTTTTGAATATTTTTTGGGGTAGCATATAACCATTTTACTATTCAAAATCCTATATCTTCCAAAAAAAAGGCCAATCGACCATTTTTTTGTTCATTTGCTCATCGTCCACTCAACAGTTGACATCGTCCACCGGTGGACGATATCGCACGGAGTAGGAAACCCTGGTTTAAGGGGTTAAAATTTCCCGGGGAAATTCTTATCCATGTCTGCATTTTGTTCTATGTCCTTGGTAATAAATTTGATGTTATTTAACTTTGATTTCTCTCTACCTTTTCCTTTTCTCTTTACCTTTCTCTTTCTCTACACCTTTTTCTTTTCTCTCTACACCTTTTTTCTTTTCTCTCTACCTTTTTGAAGTGGGGAAAGGCGAGTAAACAGTTTCTTTTAACATTGTTTTTTTTTTGTTGTTTTTTGTTTTTAATTCAACAAGCAGTCTCAGATATCCGTCTTGGCTTGTCTTCACTAAATTTGCAAAATCTTCATTTTCAACAATTCTGGATTTAGAAGAGAAGACTTCGTGTTTAAGGAGCTATGTTCCATTTGTTGTCATTTAAAATTTTCAATCAGGTATTTTCTTACAAGGAGAGAAAAATGCGTCGGTGCTCCATCATCTTGATGAATTAGTTCAGTGTTCATCTTACGCATTATAACACAACGATCATGTCTTCATGCAGAATTACGAATTGAGTTGACTGGTACTCACAGCTTTGGCAGCAAGAATCTGAGATTAGGGCATATATGGAAAATACAGTATTTACATTATTTATTTATATATATATATCCCATAGTGGAAACCGAAATTTAGTTACAGACACCGAAAGGCCCTAACCATAAATAAACTCCAACCCCAGACCACTTCCCCTGTAATGAGATATCTCACACCCTCCCACAGTCACCAACACAAGCCCCTTATCATAAACAAGGCGTCTCTCAGAGGAGGCCTGATACTGCAAATAAATTCAAATCCCCACTTCCAACAAGCACTTAAGAGCGGAAGACGGCTGAGTTCAGACCAGCTTGAAATAGACTATACTCATGTTGAGGTAATTTGGGTTTTTGCTGTGATATATATATATGTGTGTGTGTGTCTATGACGTCAATCGACGCGATAATGCAGTGGCTTTGCAACCAATGTATGTGTTGTAATTATTATTATTAGAGAAATATTTTTTCAAATGAGCAAGTGACTTCAGTAACAAACCTAGTTTGCTGAAGTTTCGATTTCTTATTTACATCTCTTATACTGATTGCCACACCAAAGAAAGATTACCAGCCTTCTCTGTTATTTAAGCCATTGCTTAAGGAAGGTGGTTCCGTGCTTTCTCCAAGGGTATTAGCAAGAAGTTACTACCTAAGTATATTTTTTTTAAATGTCATCTCTCTTCAGGGTGTAGGTGATCATGGCTCTCCCCAGATTCCTTTTCTTAACTATCTGAAAATTGTCTTGGGAAAGATAATAAAGTAGTTTTCCGTAGACATCTCCGCGGTTTGAAATTCTGAGTGTTCCTCTTAGACTTGTTGTCCCCATATAGAGACCGCAATCTAATACATTGTGTAAGTCATAGCTTAATTATACATAATAAAAAATTATAGTAAACTTTAGTCATTATTTACATTGTTCGGATTTTCTCCTCATCTTTGTCGCCATATTTATTACAACATTTCGGCCGTTGTACGCTCCGGCCTTCTTCAGGTGGTTGGAATGTCGAACTGAACCCTTTATTTCGCTCACTGGGGTAGACTGTTCTAGTTTCACGTGCCATGTTTTAATGGATATCAGTTATCTCCTGTTAATGTTCCCTCTGAAAGTTCACCACTGCCTTAACCGGGTATTGAACTCAGACTCTTTGGGTCTTGTCACTAATTTTAACCAACGCCTTTATCCACTGTGCCATGTGTCCTTGAGGATAAAAGCGTTAGTTAGATCCAGTGACAGGACCCAAACAGTGTGAGTTCAATACCCGGTTAAGGCAGTGGTGAAATTTCAGAGGGAAAATTAACAGGAGATAACTGGTAACTGACATCCATTAAAACATGGCACGTGGATCTAGAACAGTCTACCCCGGTGAGCGATATAAAGGGTTCAGTTCGACATTCCAACTACCTGAAGAAGGCTGGAGTGTACAACGGCCGAAACCTTGTAATAAATATGGAGACAATGTACTTAATACCTCATCTGAGAAATATAGACAAACTTTAGTCAGTTATGCGTCATGCGTGATACACGCTTAGGCGATCATGTATCTTTCGATACGTGACTGACGAAGCAGATTTTTTTCCCGCAGTAGGTTGCCATTTCTTTTTTTGCGGTAGAACAGTTGCCATCGAACGCTATAGAACCCGGTCTGTCCTGCTATTTACGCATAGCCGAGGGAAGAAGAGGATTCATACTTTTCCCAAGGGTGTTAGCACGTAAGTGAATGTAATGGATTCGACTGGAATTCGAACTCGGCTCTCCGATTCCTCAATCTGTGCTTATTAAACTTAGAGATATTTAATGTAAGTTTAATATTTATTTAAAAGTATATTTTATTTTATTCAATATTTTGAAGTAATACGCTTTTTTTTTTCCTTTCCTTTTTCGTTCGGTTCCAAAAAAGCCACTGTTGATATGCAAAAACCTTACACTGTATAACTACGTTTCCTACGCCATACCACTGAGCAATTCTTGTACCTAAGAAGGTTTATTTGATATGAAGGTGAATCACATCTGAGAAGACGGATGTTATTTAGTACAATATAGGGACTGTCTGGTGGATTAAGTTTGTTTTGTTTCAATCATTTAGTTCTTTTATCAAGAAATTAAGGAGTCACCGTACCCTTCAACATAGGAGAGCAAGTGCTTACATACACAAACGCACGTACACGCCATACAGAGGATGTAAAATACACGGATGTAAAAGAGAAAATAACGTGATGCGTGCATTGCCCAAATCCGGGTAGGTGTGGTTCAACGAAATGACGTAATTTTTGCGGGATTTTCAATGATTAATCTAGATTACAATGTTTTTGTATGAAGTCTTGTTCGGTTGAACCCTGTTGTCGCATAGACAATTCTTTTTTGTTTATATTTCATTTATATTTATCTTTTGATGTGCTCTTCTTTTGTTATGGGTACGGTTTAATTTCTGTAGGAATAATTTTATTTGGTTATCGATGACGTAGCTGTGAAAACTATTATTAACCAATGTTTATTTTATATGTGTGATTTTGCTAAAAATATTTCCCATGAAGAGGCGGTTAACTATTTACAATGATTTTATCACTGCTGTTTTTTTTTATAGTTTTGTGGCCATTCACTACTAGAATTTAGTAGACAGGAGTTCTTGTTAGTGTTTTTTTAAAGTTTGCTTATTCAACAGAAATTTAAAAAATTTTGCTAAAATTTCTGAACCTAAATAAATAGGAAAACATGTTAAATTGATTAAGGATCTTCCCACTTGTTCTGATAATGTTATGCAGTCGATGTTGCAATTTTCACACACACACTATATATATATATATATATATATATATATATATATACGGGGGTCTACGAAACTCCATCCGCCACATACTCGTTGATAATACAAATCTCATAGACTCATCTACATGTAAAAAAAAAAAAAAAAGGCTTAAAATAATGGAAGCATTAGTAATAAAGAAAAATCCAACACTCAATAACATCAACTATGAACACGGCCACAATGTGCTGCCCATGTTTTGAAAATAACTCTAGATACATACATAAAAAAAATCATATATTCAGTTAAAAGTAAAAACAAAATCAATTTTGATAATGGCTAAATGTATAGCCGAAAGCGTTCGGACATGGAGAATATTCAGGCAATTTCTATATAATTTATGTC